TAGCTATGTTTTTCAAAAAAGCACTAAATTATTTTAATTTATTTACATTTAACCAATTTATGATTTTTGTTAAGTCGAACTTTAGCATTTTTAAAGCAGTGTCTATATTTTCATCTGATATGTATATTAATGTAACATCTGCAAATATCTGAATTTTACAATTATCTAAAATATTACAAATGTCATCAATGTATAAGATAAATAGTAGTGGAATTAGTTTACTACCTTGTGGTATACCAACAAATATTTTTTCATCTTGATAATGTATTTCCAATTTTTTTTGACCTCTGGCAATTAAGTGGTTTTGTAGAATTTTGAATACAGTTCCATAGTGATGCAATTTTGTAATTTATCTCTATCAGTAGTTTCAAAAGCCCTTTTAAGTCCAAAACCACTGTCACTGTATGTTTCCTATTGTCCATACTTGTCCTCCAGTCCTCTAAAACCATTTGTGTTGCCGTTTCAGTTGAGTGTTTCTTCCTGAATCCAGCTTGAAATTTGGTTAAAATTTCATTTCCCTGGATACATTCGATGACCTGTTCGTAAATAATTTCTTCAAAGACTTTTTCAACATCTAGCAGAACATTCATTAGCCGTATGTTGTTGTATGACTCAGAATTCTTAACTTTCGGAACAGGAGTTATGGTAGAACACTTCAGTTTTGTTGAAAATTCGCCATATTTCAAATATTAATTTATCAGGATTAATATTTTTGCTCCAATGGTATCAAAACATTCATTAAACATCACCCACTCACACGCTCCAGCAAGACGATTATCCAAATAAGAAACTTAATAGCGTAACTTGTCATTTTTTAAGGTATTCAAAAATTTTTCAGCACTCACTTCACATTTTAAGTGCGTTCAGAAAAAAAATAGAGAACTTCATTCCAATTTTTATTTTAAATTTTGTATACCTACTTTTCTCACATTCTTTGTATTGTGGCATAATTTTGACTTTAAAAATATCTTAGCTTGATTATTTTGTAGATGTTAGATTGTTGTTAGAATTATAATATCTATTCCTTATAATCAGCAAATAAAAATCAATAATAAAATTACAATTTAAATTGAAATCGGAAAACAATTCTATAAACTTTATGCATTTGAAACTTATCGCGCATTCCCCTAATATAATAACTATTAAAATCAACACTCTCAAGATACTAACTTTTCTTACGTTCTGTATCGGTGTCATGTACAGTGATTAAACTTGCTTGCATCAGGCCCATTAGCTCAGTTTGTTAGAGCGTCGTGCTAATAACGCGAAGGTCGCGGGTTCGATCCCCTCATGGGCCATTTTTTCCACTTACATTTTCATAATATTAGCTTTGTTTACGATTCTTGTACCAGCATCTCATAAAATGCCCATAAATTGTTAAATGAAGCAAATTTGGACGTTCAAATAGTGTAATGCGAACAACTGTAGTTTTTTTTGCTTCAAATCAAGGTTTTACTCAAAAAGTGGTGTATCAAACTCAAGTAAAAATTTTCTGTAGATAAATCTTAAAATAGGCATTCCGTATATAACAATGCAAGACTTATGTACCGGCATGCATTCATTGCACGCGCTTTGTATTCGATATCGACGTATTTGATGCATGGACTAAAAATAATTCAATTGATTCAATACCAATTATGAATCGTTGAAATAATATTTTTTATCTGCTGTAGAGTATTGACTCCTATAGTGTACACGACCTGTTAGAACATACATGATGAGTTTTCAGCGTGAGCTCGGTAGATAACTCCTTTATCACGCATGATATCTACAGAAGTTAATCACAAAACTTGAAGCCAGAACGAGTTTGCTCGTTCCTTGTTTGTATTTTTTGTAGATATATTTGGCATTAATGCTACAATATCAATATTACACAGTATATCACATAATAAATTATGTCTTCAAGACTGAATATTTGAATACAAATTTCACTACTATGAATTCTGGTTTTCCATGAAATATTTTTTTAATTTCCCTTTAAACATTTTCAAACTGGCACGCATCTTGATATCCTTACTTAATTTATTAAGCTCGCAATAAAAACTTACCCTCTATGCTTATACTAACTAATCTATTCTGTTAGGAAAGATGAATCATCAAAAACATCCAACATGTTACTCGTTCAACTGCGTTCAGTAAGCACATTCGAGTGATTTGTTTCGGTCAGCGTAAAGTTTTGAGATTGGTCATAAATCATGATAATACTCATAGGGTCTCGTATTTATTTTTGCTTCCTAGAGCTCATTGGAAAGTGAAAGCGTAATAAATTTTAACAGTTTGTCGGTGCTTACCGCTGGACAATGTCCCTCGGCAATGCTTGACAAATAAAATATTGTTGAGTGACATCAAGCGACGCAAATCGCGTGCATATCTGGGCGTTAAAGTTATAAAAATAGGTAATTTACACTTGAAAAAATTACTTTTAGAACTCAGTCTAATCTCTTAAAGTAAGTCCTTTCCTACAAGGAAACTGTTACAATACAAATATAGCAAAAAGACAAGTACACTATAAGTAAATGATTATTTATCAATTTGCATTTGTGATTTTTTCATTTTTTTACACAAAATTTGTGATACCTCAAAAAGGTTTGATTTGACTATAGGATAATGTACGTCAAATGTGTTTTTAATCGCGCAAAAATTGAATAATGCAGGATATTCTATTCAAAATAAACAAGCTGGCACCACATAACCGGAAGTGCCACCTTTTTGATAATATTTTAGCTGAGTTGTTCTATAAATTTTGACAGAAGTTCCAAATTTTTATAGCTTTCTGACGTCTACTTTTTATAGCAAAGAGACAAGTACAGCATAAATAAATGATTATTTATCAGTCTGCATTTGTGATTTTCTTATTTTTTTTACACAAAAATTGAGATATCACAAAAAGCTTTGATTTGAGTATAGGATGATATAAGTGAAATGAGTTTTTAATCGCGCATTTAATTCAAAAATTGAATAACACAGAATATTCCATTCAAAATAAGCAAGCTAGCATCCACATAACTGGAAATAAGTTAGCCAAATTGTCCCATGAATTTTAACAAAAATCCCAATTCTCTCTCAAATAGTTTTCTGATGTATACTTGTTGCAGTTCTTCGTATGACTGGTAATCTGTAAACAATTTTATACAGTCGAAGGAATTAAGAAATTAACTTTTTTGGCAGTTGACAGCCCAGGATTTAGATGCTACTCAAGCTATAAAGGTCACAATGTCAGATTTCCTACTGCTTACGTCACGGCACTTTTTTTTGATAGTTGAAAGCTTTTCTAGCAGAAAAGTTCGACAATAGCACCTCGTAATTTGGAAAGCTAAGATAATTAATCGGTGCAGAACCTGATACTTTTGTCTCCGCCAAGAAAAGCATGTCGGCACTACTATTAGATTGCAGGTAGTGATGAACAGCTTCTCTCTGGAAAAAGCTAGCGGGTGGTACTGCCTCGACCAGAGCAGTGCAGTATTCCGATACGTGCGCCTACGGCACACTTCCTCATCAGGGCCCGAATCCCCCTTGATCCTCACATTAAAGGTCATTTCAAGGTCAACTTCATTTTTTTAATGTTCATCCCTATTTTTGATGCCGACAATCGAAAGAGCGGAGAAGTTTACGCTCAAATACGAATTGAAGATCAAGGTCATTGTGACCACTAAAGGTCAAATGGAGGTCAAATGTGTGCTGCTATGAAAACCACTATGAATCTTACAGGATTAGTCATGAAAATAACTATCAAGGTCAGTTATTTAGTAAATTTTGACGAGTAATCTTGGATGTAACCTTCATGGTTGATTAAAAATCGTTTTTGTAACGAGCACCATAATTCCTTCGTTAAAACTTACCCAGAGTCAACTTACGAGTGGGGCATTTTACATTTGAATATGTATGTTACATCATTTAAATTTAACTTTACTTTTTAAAAAAATTATTTGAGGACAGTAGCTACTGTCCGTTACAAACGTTTACAATTACTTGACTTGACGGAGTCTAACCGGGTATTGAACAACATGAAATGGGCGCAAGACCTATTTATACTATTGGTGTGCTTACAAAGCACTTCTAGAAAACAAAGCATAAACAACGAGTTAGCGAGAAGTCGTTATCTGTTGCTGAGCTAGCGTCTGGTGCAACATTGTATGGAATAGTAAGTCCATTGTTCTGAGTGCATATAACATGTATTAAAATTGAAGATCAAGATGACCGCTGGAGGTCAAATAGGTTAAATAAAGATCAAATATGTGCTGCTAGGAAAACCCGTAGATATCTAGCAGGGATCTTAACGAAAATAACTGGCAATGTCAGATGTTTAGTAAATTTTCACAAAAGCTCTCACACGAATAGTGACGAAAATAACTGGCAAGGTCAGATCTTCAGGAAAGTTTTAACGAAGGAACTACGGTGCTCGTTACAAATGATTTTTAACCGATACTGTTTCTACGGAGTTCTATTTGAAAAAAACTGACCTTGAAATTATCTTGAAGGTGAAGTTCAAGGTCAAATCCAAGATCACTCGTAAAAATTTGCAACAGACCTGACCTTGATAGTTATTTTCATCACTATGATAATCCTATGAGACTTATAGAGGTTTCCCTAGCGCACACACACATTTGATCTTCATTTGACCTTTAGTAGTCATCCTGTCCTAGAACTTTAATTGTGCTTGAATGTAAAGTTTTCTGTTCTTCCGATTGCCTGCATCAAAAATAGGGGATTCTATTTCAAAAAATAAAGTTGACCGTAAATTAACCTGGAAGGTTAAGTTCAAGTTCAAGGTCACCGTTGAATTTCTTGCCGAAAGTTACTGATGACGTGACATTGATCTTTTCCAAAAATACCTTACCCGAGAAAATTCCGCGCCGGTCCGGGACTACACGTTAAGTCAGGTTACTGAAACTGTCTAGATATCTTTATGTCTATAATCTAGTGTCTAATTTTAACAATTAGATCTATGAATTTTCAAAGCGCGTTTGGAACATTTTGTAATCAGTATAATTTTATTTCAGATTTCTCACATCATGTGCCAGTTTCCCTACTTCGTATGTCCCATTGAATACAGTGAGACTTTGGAGAAAATGACGATGGACTGCGAACCAGGTCCACTGTTTCGACTTACTAGTTATAAATTACCTGGATTTCTAGGTGGATTTTTGGCCACGGTAAGTTTTTCGGTCAAATATAGATTTTGAATTGCGAAATTATGAACTGAATTTGTAGCTTAGCCAACAGATATGTATCAAACTTTTCTTTCTTGCAGTTTGGATTACCAGATAGCATATCTGTATATCCCTTCGTGTTCCACTCATTGCCACTGTCTTTGTTCAGCAGTATTATTGGTCCATTTGGAGGATTTTTTGCATCTGGCTTCAAAAGGGCATTTAAAATAAAGGTTAGTGACTCATTTTTATACATTACAAAAAAATGGAATTATATAACTACACAAAAAGGATTTCATATTTTTGGAACTTCTCGGCGACGGAAAGATATATCCGACGATCTGTGCAATATTTCGATAAGCGGTACCGCTTATCGGAATATTGCTTTGTCGTTACCCTATCGATGCGATATTGGGATGAGGTTGGGATATTAGACTATCAAAATTCACCCCACCGATTACTGTAACAGACACTCATGATGCCCTCCATAGATGACACACTTCGTCACAGATTTTATTGGCTACACTACAAATAACACTCTCTCCTATGATTCCTGAGCCGCTTTCCAGTGACCCTGTTGAGTTACTCTAAGTTACTTGGAGTAACTCAGTAGTGCTCTGCACCATTACCTTTCCATTGCACGTTGTGTTCTTATGCATTTTTTTCTGGAGTAGTTCGGGAGCGTATCACTCTCAAACCAAAAACCACTTTAAAGCAGCTCTGCTACCACCGTTAACAGCGCCATCTGACGATTGCGCCGAACACTATCACATAACATACGACACTAAAACGACGATTGTTTACAGGATTCTGATCAGTGACACTACCCCCCTCTGTTATCCTTAAGGTGCATTATATTTATAAACAAATGTATATAGGGTGTTGTTAATTATCCTAACTTAAAAAAATGTACTCTTTATAGGAATTAGTCATTAAAACATAGTTTCCAAGTTTTCATCCACTTTTATACTTAAAAATATCATACAACACACAGGGTAGCCCAACGAAAAGGTCGCACCCATGTGTGACCTTCCAGGGTATATTTTGGGAAAAACGCTAAGGCACGTCAATTTTGATTTCTAGGGGGACGATTTTTAATGTATAGTCATTCAATACAGGGTGATAAAAAATAAGATATTACGTTACCCTTTAGATTTTTAAATAGAAACCCCCATTTTTAGATTCTCCATGAAGTTTTTTGTAACTTTTGTATAATAAAGTCTATACTTCGTTTTGAAGCTATTTGTGTTTATCGTAAAATTCTAAAAATCGTGATAATAATTTCGTAAAAATAATAAGACTTTACTTTAAAATTAGAAACAATTCTCTGAGTATTAAAAAAAAAACAAAAAGCAACTTACAGTTTACACGCACATTAAAGTTAAAGTAAAAATTAATTTGCTAAAGAGGTAGCTCAATGTGGTAAAAAGTGCTGAAAGTGGTGTCCATTTACCTCCATGCAATAATAAAGATTTTGTTCGAATCTTTTCCTCACCTTTTCGAGCTTGATTTGAGTTATTTGTCTACATTCAGCCGTAATCCGCTGATGAAAATCTTCTAATTTTCATTATAATTAACGTCATTTTCTATTATTTCGGTATTTCGTAACTCTATTGTATTTTCTAACTTGACCAAGTATGTCTCGCCCGTCAAGTTTCTAGGAATAAAGAAAGGTCCTACAATATGATTTCCGAAAATGCCAGCCCACACAATTATTTTTTCAGGATATTGCGAGTGTACCTCAAAAAACGAACGTGGATTCGAGTCACTCCAATATGGACAATTATGTCTATTTACAGAACCATGTAAATAGAACGGATACTCATTCGAGAATCAAATATTCAATAACAGATTTGCTTGTTGATTAAACGTTGGGACATTAATTTGCAAAACTCAAACCTATCAAAATCGTTTTCATTAAGTTCATGGACAAGTTTTATTTGTACTGGTGAAGTTTATTGTCTTTCAAAATTCTTTGTACTCTTGAGCGTGTAAATCCTGAAGAAGTAGCCAGTCCGCGAGTGCTTTGCGTATTGTCAAGTGCTACGTGTGCAGTTTCTTAAAATTTTCTTATAAACTATATAAAACGTTAATACTTTTGTCTGGATGTAACGCATTAAGCAACCGGGCAATAGCTCTTGCAATACTCACATTTTGGTAGTAAAGTTCTACCCTTTCTTGAATCGAATAAGTCATTGTTCAATATTTATCGCAACTAGGTAGGTAACTTAACCATTTAAAAGTTTTTTTCTATGAGATACGATGACACTAATGACTGATGCTAAATGTTCTTGTTGGTATCCATGATTATTATTTTTTTGCCGTGCATTCCATTATCAGTATTAAGTTAGTCGAATTTTATTATGCACTCAAATAGCTTCACTACGATTGAAAATAGGTAGAATCTTTTTTGTACAAAAGTTAATAAAAACTTCATGGAACATCTAACAAAAAAAAAAGAATGGGGATTTCCATTTAAAAATCTGAAATGCAACGTAATATCTTATTTTTGGACCACGCTGTATTGTACAGCTATAGATGAAAAGACGTCGTCCCCCTGGAAATCAAAACTGAGGTGACTGCATGGGTATCATGTAAAAACCTATAAAACGTCAAAAAAACCTATAAGATGTCATCTTGCAAACTAGGTAGATTTTAGGGCGCAAACAGTCATTCCGCTCACTAGGACCGTTGTGAACGTCCATCTATGGAGAAATCACTAAACTAAATTGAGTTATGTGTAGTTTTTATCTCAGAGAAGAAAGTTGGTTGAATAGTAAGATCGCATCTGGATGATTATGTGTATTGGTCTGCATGTGTATAAAATCAGTGATATTTGCTGTGTGAGAAAATTATTACTGAATATTCTGCCAATGAAGTATATCTATTAGCTGTGCCCGACGAGTTATTTATGTGTTGTCCTTTCTGAAGACAGTTTATGTTCAAAGTAATAAATTACGATTGTTTCTATTTTTTGTTTCCAAAAACTTTGAGGAGCACTACGGGAAATCGCCACCGCGCCCGCGTTATGTGCAATTATATTCGGCCTCGTTTCGTAAATAAGAATGTGTAGTATCTCCGCCACTGGCGCGTTCAGTCACTCAGTTCAAGGTTAATTTTTCGTCTCTCTCATCCCAATCCCTCCGATCCCCGCGCTTTAGTCTTCGTTTGAGTGCGTTATCGGTCAGTTCGGTGTCGTCCGTAGGCACCGTCCCGGTAGTTCTTCACGTTTGAAATTGCGTCGCGATTATTTCAATGCCAAAACAGAAAAAGCGGCGCCGCAGCCCATCGCCGTCGGAGACGGTGGCGAATGAAACATCCATGGTCCGAGTGCTCCGACGATTGGAACGCCGGATTGACAACATTGAACGGCAGTGTCGAAAGCGATCAAGACAACGTTCTCAGAGCAGCTCCAGATCCGCCAGCTCACTTTCCTCGACAACGCACAGCAGCGGTACTTCAGAGGAGAATCCCATTGAAGGTAACTTAATTCTTTCAGCAATCCTAAAAAACTGGCTGTTTGGGATAACAGCAAAACGGTCTGTTTGGGATAACAGTTAACCGATCTGTTTGGGATAACAGAAAATTGGTAAGTCTGTTTGGGATGACAGCCGACCGCATGTTCTAGTCTGTTTGGGATGACAGCGCACTAATTTATGCTCGGATTGTTGCAGGGGAATGTGACACATCATTGGCAAGCGAGCTGCTAACAATCATTGGGGACAAGGGAACAAGCAACAAAGAATATGGCTCCCCACTCCAACCAGATTTAGCGAATATATGGTTCCAGATTGCTAAAACCGGACTGGATCCGGATAAGCGCCAGGTATTGTTGAAGAAATACCCCTCTCCAGAAAACTGCCCTGTTTTAAGAGCATTAAAACTGAATCCGGTTGTAAAGGAGGCAATTACGGAAGCAGTTCGAACGCGGGACCTGCGTTTAAGCAATCTTCAAGCACAAATTGGGTCATGCTTAGCGGCCATAGGGCTAGTTATCAATCACTGAGCTACTTAAAGAAGAGGGAGGAGGAAACAAACAATATATAGAACAGCTAAGTGATGCTGGACGACTTCTTTCCGACATCCATCATCTAGAAACTGTTTCCAGGAGGAACCTTGTCTCAATGAATCTCAATAACGAGATGAAGGAAACTTTGGTCGAAGCCCCAGGCGACGAGTGGCTATTTGGGAAAGACTTAGACGAGAGACTGAAAACTGCAAAAAATCTTCAGATATCCTCACAACAACTAAGAGGCCCCAAGCCTCTTGCTAAGAAACAGTATACTAGACCCTCAAACTCCAAGAGTCCATCCTTTCACAAACACCGGGGGGGGAGCAAGCCAGGATGGACGCTACCAAGCAGCTCCCAAGAAACAGCCCAGCAGAAGACCTCAGCAAAAACCGCGATTTCAGGAGAGATCCCGGAATCGAGCGAATCACTCTCGATATTAGAGGTAGGGACTCTTGCAGGCAGACTTAAAAAGTTTAGCCACCGATGGACACAAATCACCAATAATCGACATGTTGTTGCTTTACTAGAAGGGTTTAAAATCCAGTTTATTTCCAAACCACGTCAGAGATTTATCCCCACTGAACATAGATGGTCGGCTACAGAACGGAAATTAATTAGTACGGAGGTGGCTACAATTAATTCAAAAAGGAGCAATATCAAGAGTCAGGCCTACTAAGGACCAATTTATCTCCAACATTTTTATCACACCAAAGTCGGATGGCTCATATAGGCTAATCATCAACCTCAAGTTATTGAATCAATTCATTCAAAATCGTCATTTCAAATTAGAAGACCACAGAACAGTAACACAATTAATTACACTAGGATGCTTTATGGCTCGAATAGACTTGAAAAACGCCTATTTTCTAATACCGATTGATCGGCGTTACAGAAAATACTTAAGGTTTTATTTTGACGGTAACACTTTTGAATATAACTGTCTATGTTTTGGAATTAATTGTGCCCCCCGCTTATTCACAAAGATACTAAAACCCGTTATGGCCTATCTACACAACAAGGGATATTGTTCAGTTGTTTATTTGGACGATTTCTTGTTGTTGGGAAAATCATATGACGAATGCCTGAAGAATGTTTCAGAAACGATTCGTCTCTTAGAATACTTAGAATTCATCATTAACTTTAGAAAAAGTAGTTTGGTACCATCAAAGAATTGTTTATATTTAGGTTTCGAATATAATTCCTTAAATATGTCAGTTTCTC